ACACCACATTCACACAATGTTGCTATGTAAAGTGAGCATCAGTATTAACTAACCCCATTCATACACATTCACACGCTGCTGACGAAGCAGCGGGAGCAATTTGGGGTTAAGTGTCTTGCCCAAGGACACATCAGACATGTTGCTGAGCTGGGGATCGACCCCCGACCTTCCTGTTGAGAGAAAAAACGACTCTACCAACTGACCAAAGCTGCCCATATTGGAAGTAGTTTCTTGACAGGATCATTTGCACCAAATTAATTAGCCTGAAGTGACTCGTATGCTCCAGAACTTTTTTTGGATTGTGCCTGAGAAATGGAGTCCATTTAATTATAATGTGGACGTCTGTTCTTTTTTTTTTACTGAATAAAATACTGAATTTAAGGTGTGAAATTATTCATTAAAATATGAATTAGCAGAATGTGTTGCCTTTAAACATGGTTCTGACATTTGAATCTGCTTGCTGCTGTTATAATATTACTTTGAAAAGAAAATGCCAGATGTTCTGTTAGCCGCAGGAAAAACACTTTGAGGTGCAAAGAGTCGCAGCTGTAAAAGTGTTTGACACCCTTTGCCTCGTTTCTGGTGTTTTGTGCCGCTCAATTTGAGGTCACTCCAGTGTTGTCAATACATTGAAGCTCACATAAACTTAGCCTGCAGCGTCTGGTGAAGGTGGCAAAGCTGTTTGGGTTACGGTGGCCACTAAGGGCCATGCGGTAGATTATGTAACAAATCAGTCGGGCAAGAGGGCATAAAAGTTTCTTAATGAGTGCGTATCCTTTTCATAAGGGCACAACTATCTTGTGGAATAAAAAAATAAAGGACATGCTGCTGTGTAGCGACTGCCTTGTTTTTTTTTGCATTTTTGATGATATTTTTTTCTTCCTTAAACAGTTTGCAGTGAATCTTAGTTAGTCTTAGTTATATGTGTTATCTGGAGGGGCGAATTTGAACATACGTAAGTTCTAACTTACAACAGACTTTACGCTCTTCTAACATTTTAAGTTGTTGCATCAGCTGAGATAGTTCCAACGTAGGCAGAAGTGAAGTCATCGAGGAGGAGAATGAGGGTTTAACCGGCTGTTTAGCGCCGTTAATGTGTTCTCCGTGATAGATTACATCCCTCAGAAATGTTTGATTTATAATCACGCTGTCAGTTTCCATGAGCAGAGATCATTCCATCTGTCCAACAACAGAGTACCGTTAAATCACCTTTTTGTTTTGGTTGAAGATTTCATCACTCAATGTCACTTGTTTTTTTTTGGATCAATGACAGTGAACAGAAGTTATTTTCAGATGCTGATCAGAGTCACTTCGACACATGTTGCAGCACTGGAACAAACACTTCTAAAAAATGCTTTTCACTGATTGGGAAGGGAAGTCCAAGGCAGGAAGTGAAGATGTCATATCTTTATTTTGTTTGGTTTGAACACACCACAAGTTAGAGCCTACAGAACATACTGTAGTGTGAACTTTACACCATAACTTCAGAGACAACTGAAATCTTCTGGGATTGCCTTTTACACTTCCACTCAGCAGGAAATTGTGTCTGCTGTTTTCTCACCGCTAGGAAATACTCTGTTTCGTTGAGGACATAGGATGCACATGCAGGAAGAGTAGTCTTCAGTTATTTTTGTCATTTCTGTGTTAATATCACTACAACATGCATAAGGCTGTTTCAACAATACAAACACGAGTAGATGACATTTAAAGAGACGACTGAGGCGACAACTTAAAGAGGAAAAAGCAGGAAAATCTCACTCTACCTGAACAAAATCATCACCCAGCCCACCTGCTCGACGTGAATGTTCAAGATATTTACCTGCTGTTTTCACGCTTTGACACACTTTAACTTTATGCAGAATCTTTTCTGAGAGGGATGGTAGGAAAAAGTCTGTATAACATTCGGGTTAACAGATTTGGCTGTTTATGTTCACACTTATACCTCCTCTGGACAATTTCAGGAGTGCAGTGCATGTGTGAAAGTGTCTGCAGACGAAGTTGAGCTCGAGGCAGAGAGAGGCAGCAATAGTGATCCAGCGACGGTGAATGTTAAACAGCCTGACAGTTCAGCAACACAGCAGATAGATTCTCCGACAGCTGCACATGGGGAGATACTGACAGTTTGGTCTCTCCTGGTCACTGTGGTTTGTCTGTCTGTCTGTCTGTCGGCCTGTTCTTCTGTCTCTCTCTCTGCTGCTGCATTGCGGCGACGGCTAAGAGCCCAGCAATCATCTCTCGTTGTTGCTGCTATGAGCTGTTCTGTCAGGAGGAGAGGCTCACAGCTGTCTCCATGCTCTGCCAAACACACACACACACCACCCACGCATTGACAAAGCAGGAGTCCACACTAAGAGTACATGAGAAAATGGAAATGTTGACACAAAACACTCTCACAGGAGTTTGTATTCAAACCCACTTGGGAACATGGAAACACACTCACATATGCACACAAAGAATCCCCTGCAATCGATCAGAGGAGGGAGTGAAAGTCACCTTCTTCACATATCCAGCACTGCAGTGTTTACACAGAAATACACAGACGGACAGAGGGAACGAGGGATGACTCACACACACTGCAAACACACAAATTAAAAACACTTTAAATGTATTTTTCTATCTAATAGAAAGGGACACCCCTTTTCATATCATTCCAAAGCAAAGACTTCCAAACGACATGCTAAACTGGGATTTTCTTCTCCTAAATATTGTATTTCTTCTGAGTAATAACCATCCTAGTTTTTTTTTTTTTTTTTTTTGTGAGACAGTGATTATCTGTCACAGTTTCTGTTAAAGCCAAAGGCCAGGGATCACTGTATGATTGTAAAAAAAAAAGTGGTGGGGGAATGTCTCTCACACTGTTCTAAGATACATTTTATGGTGCGTACAAATTTCAAGTAAGCAGAAAATAATTCGACCAGATGGGAGCAGCAGATCGGGATGTGATTGACCATCGTGTACGCTGGACAGCAAACAACATGCAGCCGTGAGACTCAGAATTTGAGTCAGAATCAGCACAAATATGAGTGCAAAGGACGGTATGCAAGAAGAAGATACATTTTCTTGTGTTTTGACTTTGACTCTGATCTTTAGCAGAATTCATGTGAGCGGGGATTTTCAAAGATGCATTAAAAAGCACAGATAAGGCAGAGTTGCCTCATCGCAGTGCATCCTGGTTAATGTAGGCCCCTCCTGTCACAGCTCAGAGAGCAGGTGACTGTCTCAGCTTTCTCGCTCAATAGAGCACACTCTGAGGAAATCGTTTGCTTTAACTGACTACGTTTATCATCAACACTGATTGCACATCCAGATACAAAATAAAACGGAACATTTCAGGTCAGTGAGATACGGTTGAAAGCTCGGGAACAAGTGAGCCGTGAGTGGGCATATTTGTTTGTCGATTGATCGGCCAGCGTTTGCCAGCAGTAATGAGGCAGTAATATGGCACAAGATGTTCAGTTACATCGATTTTAAATGGTCTGAATGCTGGACTCAGGTACAATATAAGATGTAGAAAATTGGACTGGATTGAATATCTGGAGAGATTAGAGACCAACATTAAGGGTTCAATGGACAATAATATAGGATAGATTAAAGAATAGTTTATTTTTGCAGTCATTGAACAGAGCATAAGATTTGAACACAGATGTCACAGCCTCCTTATTCATTCAGGGTGATCTCACCAATAACTCGTGTCACTGCAGACTCAGGCAGCGTGGAGACTGCTGACGGGATGTCAATAAGGCAGCAATTGCAAAGGGAGCAAAGTGTGTGTGTGTGAGTGTGAGTGTGTGTGTGTGTGTGGTGGCGCAGAGGGAGAGAGGCAGGCTTGGATAAGTTCATGAGTTGTGAGTCATGTTAGCACCTCGGATCAAACGGCTGGGTCGACACACTGCTGTTTGTTTCTGTTAGCAGCCGCTTACAGAGACTTCTAGTAACCGCGGGAAAGAAGGCACCGGCTTTATTTACATTCATCCTTTAAAAAAGATGATTGTTTATAGATCAGTTAGACATTTTAACCTCTGTTTGGTGCTTTTTTTTTAGTGCTCATTGTGAAGCTACAGCCAGCGGGAGCTAAGCTAGGCTATTAAAACTGCCGGTGTCTGTCCAACGATATCAAATCCAATTACCAGCGCTGAATTCAACCAGCTGTAGAATAGATATTCTTATGTAAATGATGAATGTTTCACTCCCCTCAGTGTTCACCGCATAGAAAGCTTCCTGCTCATGTACCAGCAATCCGTATCCTGTGTATTGGAGAAAGTTATCTACGCTTTGAACTTTCACCAAAACTGATCACACTGACTCTTGATTTAACTGCCCGACTGTGTCGTAAAGCCCTCTGGTGACCCCCCCCCCCCCCCCCCCCTCTTAATTTCCACATACTCCGTACCGCCAGCGCCTCGAAAGGTCTAGCTCTAGTCAATAAAGATGATGCAGCAGACTGAAACTGGAATAAAATAAAACCCCAAAACATCCATTTAAATCTTCAAGCTTTACATTCAGTTGACTAAAGGGCTGATTTTTATTATCACTACTTTTAAAGCACTCCTGGGTCTGATTCCAACACATTTTTTTAGGGACAGAACTTCCATCAAAATATTAAAAAAGTGAAATTCAACCAGCAGACCTGAACAGAAATCTGTCTATATAATCTATGTAAATGTGCAATGTTCTAGGTTATAAGGCTGTCGTCAGTGTACTCTTGACCACACCACCTCGCTCACCGTTGTGATATACGAGTCAGGTGATTCAGCTGTCGCTCTGTTTTGTGTTTTGTGTGCTAACTACTGGAGTAGCCCAACAAAGCAGCTAAATCAGCTTAAGAGTGGAAGTAATATCAACGAATTACCTGATGAATAAAACCTCATTATCATGTCCTTTGTCTCTCTTCTCTTCCTCATTATATCTCCCGTTACAATCCCCTGCCATTCCCCTCTTCTTCCCCTCCTCGTTCTTTTCCTCCACCCCTCTCTCTCTCTCTCTCTCTCTCTCTCCTTCAGGTCTGATCGTGTACCTGGGGATGATGGTCGGAGCCTTCATTTGGGGCGGCCTGGCCGATCGGATCGGCCGACGGCAGACCCTCCTCATCTCCCTCTCCATCAACAGTGTGTTCGCCTTCTTCTCGTCCTTCGTCCAGGGCTACATCTCCTTCCTCTTCTGCCGCCTGGCCTCCGGTGTGGGGTGAGGACAAGAATGAGTCACACACGCACACACACGCACACACACTCACACACACACACACACACACACACACACACACACACTGCAGCCAGGCCTGGAAATGAAACAGTCACGACCGCTGTGGTGCATCATTTGACTTGACAACTAGAGCAGGACAACATGTCAGAGGACAGATACAAATGCTGTGTTTTTAACAGAATAAAATCCCACCCTCAGATTCTTGGATGTTTTGAATGTTCTGGAGCTGTTTTCCATTTAAGTGTAGGAATGTGCTTTTCGATGGTCCCAGTTCCTTCAAATGGTTTTGTCTACTTGCACTTAAGAAGGTAATTTCATTAACTAACATCCCGAATCTCCACACGATGAGCCTGAACTAAATGTTTTTTTTTTGTAGAAGGTTTAATGGCGCATCAGGTCTTCTCGTCTCCTCGTGTTTCTGCTTGTGTGGCTGAATGCTGGTGGCTGTGGTACAATGTCAGCAAAATGGCGGCCGATGCTCTGATTTTCAAACTCTGATGGGAAAACATGACTTCCACCAAGACTTTAGATGTTTTAAGTACAATATGTAAATATTACCTTATCTTGTTTGAGCGACACTATAACCTTAACATATGTATCACGTCATGATGTTGATATTTTGTCAGTTATGCAAAGACATCAAATGTGTACCGACAAAAGAAGCAAAGCCTCGATAACACATCTTATTTTCGATGATTTGCACTGTTTTTGAGCTACTCTGCATGGCGTGCCTCTTTGGATGACAGTGTCAGTTTGTCCAACACTTTTTTTTTTTTTTTTTACCCAAAGCTGTACAATGTGTCTGTCTGCGTTCAAACGTGCAGCTCATCCCAAAAACTTCAGCTCATGAGTTTTGTGTGAACAAGACTTAATAAGCAATCGTTTGCACACAGATACACCAAATGAAATGTGTGATATAGTGAACATGACCCATTTCATATCTGCATGTTAGCACATGCACTCTGAGTATGGTAGCATGCTAATATTAGCGTTTGGCTTTATGATAATAATTAAATGTATAAAGCCCTTTCAAAAATGATTTTCAAATTGCTTTACAATAAAATAAACAGCAAATAAGGCAAGTTGTAGATAAGCAAAAAAAAGAATAATTTAAATCCGTTATTATCAATATAAAACTTGCTAGCATGTCTGTTGACTATTGTTGAAACTACCACTAGGGGGCATCAAAATCAAACATTTGAATTATTTAGAAAACGATTTATAAATGAAATTATAACCTGGAAGTCAAAACCTATTTTCTTCTTTCTTCAGTTGATTAGTTTGTAAAGTGTAGCTCCGATGAATGCCCAGCTCAGCAATCACAAAACAACAGCTTGAAACTCTAAACTCTCTTTATTGTTTTGAACTGTGAATTGGGGCTTTTCTCTGTGGCTATTTCTTTCCGTTTGCAGCGTGCTGAACTTGTCCAAATTGAGTCATCATGTTAACCACACTGCCCCATTTTAACTGGCAGAGCTCTGAGTTTGAACCTGTTCCCAGAATCTGTTCGGGTCGTAAACTGTTGTGATGGAAGATGTACAACGAGGCCGTAAAGAAGCCGCTATGGATCGCAGTCCGCTGGGCTTTAATGGACGGCTTTTAAGACTTTAATGTTCATTCTTCATCAACCACAAGGCTTTATCTGACTTTTGTATATCACTCATTCTCCCTCCTGATGCTTTAACTTTTGATTGAAATTCATGTTCTCCACAGCATCGGCGGCTCCATCCCCATCGTGTTTTCCTATTACTCTGAGTTCCTGGCCCAGGAGAAGCGAGGAGAGCATCTGAGCTGGCTCTGCATGTTTTGGATGATCGGCGGTATCTACGCCTCTGCCATGGCCTGGGCCATAATCCCACACTATGGTGAGAGACACACACAGATCACTCGGTCAGGAAACCATTGTCAGAGTCAATATGTGCATGTTAGTCGGCGGATTAGTCAGTAAGTCATTTTAATATTTTTTAGTTACATGAAAATGTAGAGATGGGATGCTAGGGCTGTTTGTCAATCAACAGTGGAGAGAAGTAACTAACCTCCTTCAGTACCTCAGTAGTTACAGGAAGCTTCTCATGCTCACAATTCAGGTCTAGCAGCTGCATCTCAGCTCATCTTTTCAGTCCTCTCCCTCTCTCCTCCTCTGTCAGGCTGGAGTTTCCAGATGGGTTCGGCCTACCAGTTCCACAGCTGGCGTGTCTTTGTGTTGGTGTGTGCCTTACCCGCTGTGGCGGCCATCTCTGCCCTACCACCATGCCTGAGAGCCCGCGCTTCTACCTGGAGGTCAGCTCGCTGCACACTCAGACCTTGTGGAAAATGTTATCAGAATGCCTCTTCACTTCATGAATACATAAAGAGCCTTGAAACAGAAAGCATCAGTGCGCCTGCAAATCAGAAGACACCGTGCTGCAGACAAAGTGCTGCGTACTCGTTTTCCAGAATATTTTGAATAGATAAATAAAAGTGCATGTGTAAATCTTGGAGCAGACTAAACAGGGGACTGTAATGTGAAAAAGAGTATATCTGAAGTCTTTTACCTTTCACTGTGTTTCGAATTCTGACAGAGTAAAGAGTGAACTGGAAACTTGGAATAGATTTTGGGATCGTTGATGAAGGAATCATTTAAAGCTGTTTTACAGTATAAGGTCTCCTGGTTTGTTGGGATTTTTTGCTGTCCAGTATGATTCTGATCCCAATATTAAACTTGGATCAAAATCATTAAATATTTAACAGTATTTTCCATCCTTTTTTATATCTCAGCCACTTTTATCAAACTGTAAATACATCAACATATACTTCCCTTGTTTTATCAACAGAAGGTATTCGTTGTTATTTTTGCCGCTTACACACATTTCAATCAGGGGGACTTCAGTAAGAGTGAACAATCATATGAACAAGTTTAGGAAAGATAAACGTGCAATGTCTTTGGTGATTAGACGCCTTCATGTTTTCATGTACTTTTCATGGACTACCCTTTTCATGAAAGGGTAGTCAGACAGACAGCAGGATAGGAAACCCCCTGTTGGAGTCTAGACACTGGTGGTGGTGGAAGTATGCAGGATGAGTGATAAGGAATTAGGAGGAGCTGGTTATGGACACTGTTGAGACGGTATGGAGGTGACTGGGGCTGGAGGAGGGTCGCAGCGATCAAACTAAAACGACAAACTGACAGCGAAAGAGAGGAGATCAGATTTTTCAAAATATGACGGCAGCAGGATGATTGGTCAAAATAAAGTCCTTTCAGTTTGCGGTTTGCTGACAGTCTTTGATGGCTCTTTCTTTGGATGTCACTGAAGTTCTGTACGAGACTGAGTTGGTTGTCTAGCGTCACTCCAAGATATTTGAAACTGTCACCTATTTCCACTGTTTGGGTATTGGTCTTTTCCAGTATTTATGCTAAATTGGGCTTACTGTCACTCAAATCAACGGTCCATCATTCAATCCCTGACCAGAAAAAAAACAACACAACTATTAAGAGATGCTAAAATATTGAGCTCAGCTTAGGTTAACAACGGCTACTGGTAAAAGAGAACAACTATTACATTTGTTTTTCATTTTTCTCCTTCAGAACGGGAAGCACGACGAGGCGTGGATGATTCTGAAGCAGGTCCATGACACCAACATGAGAGCCAAGGGCTACCCAGAGAGGGTCTTCTCTGTAAGTGACAGCAAAGAAGAACTGCGGTCTGCATGCAGTTAAAATTGTCTTCACACAGGGCATGTGTTGCTGCCTGCAGGCTGATACAAAGCAGCAGGTTCTGAGCTCTGTGCTGCATAAATTAGCATATTAAACATTTTAAACAGACTTTCTTTAAACTACTGTAATCTCTTAAAGCTCCCAGCCACACGGTTTGTGTTAATGTTTAATGAAAGGTATTAGAACAGGAATGAAAATCACAGTGTTAATGCTGAGATTCAACTTCGGGTGAAAAGGAACCATTCAATTGTCTGTGATTTTTGTTCCTTAACTGCAGAGCCGTTTTGCTAGATGGTTTGAAAAATATGGGAACAAATAATTATAATTAAAACTCCATGAATTATAATCAGCTTCTGTAAATTTTAGCTTTACAAATGAAACAGAAAAGAAAAATGGGACTATGATAGATCAATTATACGTTGTGCATATCTGTTATCATACATTCTCCAATGTGTTTAAAGCATTATTGGCCATTATTACTCCATTTTGTTCAACCTTTTCTAAAAGTAATAAGTGTAAATGACTAGAAAACAGTAATTGATATTATATATCTAATGATTGAATGTCTGTTTCCAGGTTGTTGTTTTTTTGTCCTGCACCTGTATCTTTTCAGTTGCATGTGTGCCCACTAGTTTTTTTCTCTTTTTGATGTTTCCAGGTGACCACAATCAAAACGGTGAAGCAGATGGATGAACTGGTGGACCTGGGCGATGGGGCCGCCTGGCATCAGAAATGGAGGGTCAAGCTAACTACACTTTTCCACCAGGTGACAAACCCTGACATTTTTTTATCTTACAGATTGTTATTTAGGAAGATTAACTGCTGAGATGAAACAACAAGGTGTCACAGTGAGGACGGACAAGGACCAAAGAATCCATTTATGTTGGCAAAGCTGCAGGCTCGTATGAAATCCTGTTTGTTTTCAGAATGAAACCTGACCAATATATAATATGCGATGTCACTTTGTTAAAAAGAGGGAGTTCACTGCTTGCTATGGTTCTAGTCCTGGTGTGGATCAAAGTATGAGAGTTAGTCTGGTTGCCAGGTCCCTTGAGCAAAAAACTCCCCGTGTAGCAGCTGCACTCTGACACCTCTCTATGTCCACAGGTCCTGTTTGTATGTGTTTGTATTTGTGTCATAACGGAGTGTAAAACCAGAATCTTCCCTCTGGTAGTGTTGTACTACTCGAAATGGGACCGGTCTCGAGACCACTATTTGAAGGTCTCAGTCTCGTCTTGAGCTCAGGCTGGGCGGACTCCGGATTTTAAATCAAGACCGGTCAAGACCACCACTGCTAGGCTACTTTTTCCAAGTCATCACTGTGATTAGAAAGAAAAAAACGCCCTTTCTAAAAGAATGAATAACTTCATTTCATTCATAATTTGATGTTTATCCCCCCGAGTCAAGACCGGTCTCGATACCTGAATATCTTGGTCTTGGTCTCGGAGCACTCTAGTCTTCGGTATGTCTTGGTCTTGGTTAGTCTGTCTTGACTACAACACTACCCTCTGGGATTATTAAAATATGTAAAATAGATATATTTTATAAATCTATATTTACCTGAACTGACATTAGGTGAATGAAACGATGCAATAAGGAATTCTAAACCTTGTCATTTATTAACACATTCACCAAGTGAACAAACATTAATGCCAAATGAAAGTTGGGAAGAACTTTCTGAGTTTTGACTTTATTTATGTGACAGTCAAAGTCTTCATCTTTTGTGGACTGTGTGTATTTAGTGACAGGATTTGTTTGCTTTATGACTAGGAGGGGATTCTGGGAGTTTTGTGTTGATTTATTGCAGCTGCTGCTTGTTTTCAGAGATGTCTGGTGTATATTGACTTTTTATTTGACTGTGCTTGCATATTTATTGTTTTCTCTTTGTGCCTCCATGTCTGTGTGTTTGTTTTCTTTCCTTTAGGTGTGGAGTAATTTCCTCACCATCTTCTCTCCAGAGTACCGCCGCACCACCTACATGATGATGGCCGTTTGGTTCTCCATGTCCTTCAGGTGAGATGAGGTTAAAGACAGGGCGAACCCCGGCAGGTTTAGATCAGTTCTTTGACGTGTTGAGTAAATACTACCGCTTACTCAACATGTTCAGTTATTTGCTGAATCCAAAAATGCTCACAGAAAGTAATGTGTTGATGGCTTTGCAGGTATTAGGTTACAAACTCTTTCTCAGATAGAGTTTACATCTTGTTGATGTGTTCTGCACTCTTACCCTTTCTGCCTCTCTCCTCGTCCTCTGCCTTGTCCAGCTACTACGGTCTGACAGTGTGGTTCCCCGACATGATCAAGTACCTGCAGAAACAGGAGTACGCCTCGCGCACCAAGGTGTTCGTCAAGGAGAAAGTTGAACACGTCACCTTTAACTTCACCCTGGAAAACCAGGTCCACCGCCAGGGAGAGTACTTTAATGACAAGTGAGTCAGCCGGGAAAAAAAAAAACATGCATCCCCTCAGACTCATCGTGAATTAAACCATCATAAGGATATCTGAATAAATTAAATATGTATCATATCTTCAATACTTTGTGTGTGAATATATTTGATGATAACCGTTTAGATAAATGTATGAAATCTGCATGCCTAGCATTGCTGTGGTTGCATGAAGTTTCTGCAGACTTGTTCATATTTAATCGGCCGGACTGTGATGTTTATTGATGAAGACTTTGCGTTTTCATTTTTTTGATCTCTCTCCACTTCCAACTCCCATAATCCATCTGTTCACGTCTTGCATCATCCCTGCCTGTAACTCTATGCAGATTTATGAATTTAAAGATGAGGTCTATGGTGTTTGAAGACTCGCTGTTTGAGGAGTGTTACTTTGAAGACATCACCTCCAGCAACACCTTCTTCAAGAACTGCACCTTTATCGCCACCCTCTTCTACAACACAGGTAGGAAACACACACACACACGCACGCGCACACACACACACACACACACACACACACACACACACACACACACACACACACACACACACACACACACACACACACACACACACAGGATCTAACTATCCCCTTTTCTTTTTGTGTAAATTGCGCATGTCTCTGAATGATTGTAGCATGTTTTACATTTACAGAGACTCTGATTTTACTAAAAAAGAAATGCCACCACAAATGATACGCAGATGTTTCTCATATGGGAAAGTGTTCTGTCTATAATAATCATTTATGGAAGCGCCTTATTGTCTGTGTGATATGAAACCATGGTCACGTAAAGTTCTTGTTCTGTGGGATTGTGGGGAGCTTCTCCCAAAGCTGGCTGCTGCATCTGATGCTTCCTTCTTAAAGAAGGGTGCTTCTTTCCGCTGTGAGTGTGTGGAGTGGTAGAAAGGGGGGTCCGGTTTGAGAAAGGCTGTAGGCTCTGCCCCTCAGGCTCCTGCAGCACGAGTGGCATTAGGATCCCGTATCATAATCTTCAGAAAACACTGATTTTTACTTAGTTTACCTTTAAAATGTTCTACACTGGCTTCCATTTGATGCAGATTTATTTTGATTGAAAAGTAAAGTCATGGGAAAATGGAATAAATTCTTATTTGATGATTTTGTGTAACTCTCTTTGCCTGAGATACAACGCACTAATGACAGCAACGGCAAGATGGCGGCGCCCACAAATCGAAACTGTCGAATTGCTCTATACAATCTGTGGTAGTTGATGTCAGCCTATAATTTAGTATCATTACAATAGGACCTTATGTATCCATCAATATTAGGATAAGGTGCATGGTCAGTTTGTTCCTCTTTATTTCTCCAGATATTTAAAAAGGAAGCAAAATCAGCTCCAACTGTTTGTGCAAATGGCTCATGTTATTGTACTTTCTTTTACCCTCCTCTGACTAACTGAATGATTTTACACTTAATTCAGCTTTCAGAGCTGCAGTGTCTCCTAGCAACCCAGACTGAATCCTTTAATATTTCATTTTACAATACTGGAGCTGTCTCTCATGTCAAACCAGGGCATTGATTTTTTTTCCACTGATATGTCAAAAAAGGAAGTAGCTGAGAACTCAATCCTGTGCATTTTAGACAATGACATTGTCGACTATTTATCTGCAGCTGTGTCCGCACATACATCACTCTTGCATACAACAGATAGAAGCCAGACCTTCCACCCCCTTTTGTTAGTTGTTTGCAGTCTTAACACACGTAAAGTGATCACTCACAGCTGCTATCAGTGTCGGCCAGAAGTTCCTCATTATAGAGGAATTAAAAACATGCTTGCTTATGGACGCTTAATTGAGCTCCCTATTTTAATGCCACAGTGACCCTTATTGTCAAACTGCAGCATAATGGGAACAAACCACATGATGGATAGTTTGGCCAAAAGGAGATGGCATTATGTTTGTCTGAACTAAATTAGGTTATATGAGTCATTTAGTAGCCTATACAACTTTACATCAAAATATGAAGTTTATTCAGATTATCTTTATTTTGGACATTTTTTGTGAATTAAAATAACATGTGGTGCATTGAATTGGTTGTGAATGCATCCTAAAGCGCTAATTCAGGTGCAATTATTTGAGCCAAAAGGGATGATTTTTGACTCGTTAGTTTCAAATCAATGCAGAAAAGCCTTTTTGACTCAATATAAACCATAAAGCAGGAAATTGCAGAGTTATCAATGAGGGCTTCATAATCCTGATGGACAGTGTTTACATTTCAAGAAGTTGCTTTGTAATTATGCTTAACTGGACTGCTCTTTATTGATACAGATTCAACCATGCTCCCTACCTTGTTTGTTAACCTGATAACCAAAACGCTAACTGTCATAATCAAACTTGTTCAACATTTCTGTGTTCACTCTTTATCAATCCTCTTTACTTTCCTCCCTCTCTCCCTCCCTCTCTCTCTTTTCTCCACAGATCTCTTCAAGTATAGGTTGGTCAACAGCAGGCTCATCAACAGCACGTTCCTGCACAACAAAGAGGGCTGCGTGCTTAGCGACGTCAGCGATGAAAACAATGCCTACATGGTCTACTTCGTCAGTTTCCTGGGCACCTTGGCTGTGTTGCCTGGCAACATTGTCTCTGCGCTGCTCATGGACAAGATCGGACGGCTGAGGATGCTAGGTAATATGAACGCAGAGGCCCATTCAGCATATTAAGCATGGCGGATGTTTTCCTCTGACTGCTCACTCATGATGGGAAACTCAAGTTCTGGTAAAATGATGAACTGCTATGTGACCGAAATCTGGCAAATATTACTATTAGATGATAAGCAACTGAAAAGAGGATACATAGTGAGAGTTCACAGGGAAATATGGCAATTTCAAGATAAAAAAATATATAAGATAACACTTCAGAAACATACAGCTGAGTCCCAACAGGTAACTTTGGCATGAAACCAATTCATGGATAAACATAACAGTTAGCCAGCTACCTTAACATTTTTGAAGTCATTCCTATCTAATCATCACATGCTCTCAAAAAGTCATGTGGTTAAATGCTGCACTAGCTTCGAAGTGATTCAAGGTCCTGTGAGGACATTTTGGTTTGTGTCTATTTTGGCAACCCCTGTTTACAAATTGGTCTATACTGATTATGTCCTGTACATCTGTTGGTAGCGTAATTTTTTTCTGATTTCTTTTAACGGTCAAATCTAACACGTATCAAGTATTTGCTATAGGAATTCAAAAACAGGCTGTTTTGGCAGCGCACTTTTGACAAGTTTGTCTTACGCCCACCCACCGGCAACAGAAAGCATTAAAAATAATACAGAAACAGCTGATGGTCTCCTTTACTTTTGAAGCTCATATAGAGGCGTCACTATTAATTTCAGTGTGTTTCAGAAGCTGCTTCGAACTTATGAAAGTGTTACAAATTACGGAATAGAGTATTTGGCATGCACAAACTGTAAAACAATGTTTTATTCAAAGGCCTAAATTTTAGCCCTATTTATTACACCCAAACCCACACAGGTACAGGTCCCAAAAACACAATGTTTTCTTAATATTATGTTCTTTCTTCACAATGGTCAAATGATTTGGACAGGGCACTGATGAACTGAAGGTGTTTCTTGTCTGTCTGGTTTATATGAGAGGCTTGAACAAATTATGAGTTGATAAAGGACTCCCATCCTTGCTTATTTATTCTTTACCGTTATCTTTCACCCGGTGTCTCTCTCCAGCGGGCTCCAGTGTGATCTCTTGCGTCAGCTGTTTCTTCCTGTCCTTTGGCAACAGCGAGTCGGCCATGATTGCGCTGCTTTGCCTGTTTGGGGGAATCAGCATCGCTTCCTGGAACGCCCTCGATGTGCTGACGGTGGAGCTCTACCCCTCTGACAAGAGGTAGGAAATATAGGCATGCCCTGAAATCTCCCTGACACTGTAGATTACGTGTTAAATGCTGTCACGAGACTTGCCCGTCGATGATTGGCTGGCTTACAGGGATGGATGACATTGTGTGATGAACTCATTGGTCGTCCATGTGATGCAAAGCATACAGCAGCCTTGTTGCCACCTAATGGCCTGAGAGGATCTTTTCCTAGCTCTTCATGGTCCCGCTTAGAAAAGCTGAGTTTGTAAACCCACATTTTAATTCTTTGAAAATAGCTGAATATAAAATACTTTTAACATAATCACAAAATGAACCAAAACAAGAAGATGTTTCTTTGTGTGTCCATCTGTATCAATTTGGAAATCAGCGTTTGAATTTTTATTCTATAAGCTGTTGCTCCACCTTGTGGCTAAGCAGACACCCTACAAGCAATAATGTTTAGGCATCAGGGTGTCTCTCTTTTCACTTTAAGGTTAAGAGAGATCAATTCTGCATCTCAACACCAATGGTTCATTATTCTAACAGAAAATTCCCTCTGAGCTGGTCTGCTGAACACGGTCAGCCGTTGCCATGCAATGTAATATGTACTAACAGTGCGGCTTTGTGTGATTCCCCAACATTTCGTCCCTCAGCTATCCTACAAATGCAACTATGTGGTGCATTACTGTGCAGAAAACAATAACACAAGTAAATAAAACCTCAATAATCAAACCAAAACAATGATCTGGACATCAATGAAAAGGTTTAAATGGAATATAAAATTATTAAAATCATCAACAGGAATTCTATTTATTCAGTAATATACAGTAATAATCAGCCTGTCAGGCAGTTTACACAATAATTAATACTACTGTATAAGCCAGTGAGAGATTTGTATATATGTCTGACAATCAATCTGTGAAAGATTCTGTAAGACTTTGAAACTCTTCTTAAATGAGGCGTCCTTTTAATATACGTACCAGCAGTGCAGCACATCATCAGTAAGGCCCCGTGTCCACATATCGTTTTTTCCTCAGTGTGTTTTCTCAGTTGTTTTCAATGGGTAGAGATGAAAAGCGCAGCGCCACGCGTCTTTCACAAGCGCCCTGCCGTTTTTGTGCTGCCTCTCCGATTGCTCAAGTTGAAAGTGTTTCAACTTTTCAGAAAGGCGCTGTTGACATCAAAAAATGTTTGATATTCCCTGTATTTTAGCCTCCTACGGATCGTATCTTGTACTCACATCCTCTTTGCTCCGTGTCTGCTGGGGTAGAAAACGATCTCAAATTGAAAACATGCAGCAAAAATGAACAGAGCTGTGTCGGTCATACAGCGGCCGTTGTCAACAGACTGTTGTCATGGAGACAGGACGGATGTGCAGCGCTTTTACTCTCAGCGCACGAACGCTGCGCTTTTCTGCCCGGAAAAAAAACGCTCGGTGGACACGGGGGGGCCTTACTGATGATGCTGCTCTCTGATGCTGTGGAGGCAAAGATTTCTCATTCGGCAGCTTTGGCTCCTACACTGTGTGTCGACCTGAGGAAAAGATGTGAGCGAGGGATGCAAGGATTAGGACACACTTAAGCCATGGACTATATTAAACAAGTAGTCTTAGTGACGTCGCCCGTTGGTTTCTAAAGAGGCGTTTTGAAGCCCTGTGCTATCTTAACCTAACTTTTAAATGTGTAAAATGCAACATTTTAAACAATAATATTAAACAACATTATAACATTAAACAATAATATAACATTTTAAACAATAATATAGCAGTCAGATATCAAATATATCCTAACTAAATATGTTGGTGACCAATGCCTTTCTATTAAAGAGTGAATCCAACTTCCTTATAGTCAGCGCTTCCTCAAAGTTGTTTATGTTTCACTCTGAGTCTCGAATAAGTGTCATACATGTTTCTTTCACATGAAGCCCAGTCAGAACTCTGAGGGAGGGGCGGGACAGCTTTGTTTTGGTTTCAGAGACTTGTGCTAAAAGTGTGACATTTACTGGACATCTACTCTGAGAGTCTCATATTAAATCAATCTATAAACATGCAAAGAGCTGACCTGAAGGCAAATATCTACAATGTGTGAACAAATAATGAGATAACAGACTATAGTGTGTGACTGTGTACCCTCTCTGTCCCCTTTCTCTTTCTCAGAACCACAGCGTTTGGCTTCCTCAACGCCCTCTGTAAATTAGCGGCTGTTTTAGGCATAAGCATCTTCACCTCGTTCGTTGGTATCACCAAGGCCGTGCCCATCCTCTTTGCCTCGGGGGCGCTGGCGGCGGGCAGTTTTCTGGCCCTTAAACTACCGGAGACGCGGGGTCAGGTGCTGCAATAGTGTGTGTGGCGCCATCAACTTTCCAGGGGAGCAGAAGAGTTTTCGCCACACTGTGAATGAAGAGCTCAAGAGCCCTCGAAATCCTACCCTCTAACCCCTCACTTCACAATGATAGAGTAAAGTAAGTGCACACGCCTCAAGACAACACAGAGGAGCGACATAGATTTGCTGTAAACTTTGATAGGTCCCCTTCCATGCAATAGAAGCTGTGTCAAACACCTCGAGCTTCAATAGATTGCTAAATGTGAAGGAAGGTTTCTCAGTAAAAGAGTGATGTTTAATTTCCTGTTCATAAAATAAAATGTTTAGATTTGGTTCCCAAATTAAAGTACATCCACCTGGGGTTGGAGGTCAGGGGACTGGGGTTCTTGATGATGAGCCATGGAAATAGACTCATAGAAACGACCACTAGCCATTGATGCGAAGTTCTCTGTAGTCACCTCCATTCTCCTGAGCAAATTCAACTCACCTGTCAAGTCTCGAGTACTCTGCCATTGTTGGACACAGAATCAAAAATGCGACATTTTCTGCCTTGATTTGAAGCATTTTTGACTTTTCTGGGTAAAACCAAGACTCAACTCTCTTGGCTTTCTCTCAAAACAAAGACCTCTCCTCATTTTTTCTCTCCTAAAGGTCTTGTGTTGGTGTACAGACTTACTGCCATTTTTTTTAGGCGATAGAACATTCCAGGTTTGCTTTCGTTGTTGTTAGAAAGTGACGAGGAGATCAATCGAGGCCCCCCTTCTCCCTTTAAAACATGGTTTCTGATCACGTCACGATACATTCAAAACAGTTCGATGTATGTTTCCCATGCCACGTCTTCAATTCTGTGCTGTCACGATCGCCATTTCATCTCAACAATCAAGCCATTTGTTAAAATGTACATTTGAAGCACAACCATTAGCCAGTGTGAATGTCCCCTAACATTTTCTTGACTTGATGAAAATGTTCAGAAACTCGCAGTCAGTCACCATTTTTCATCATACTGTGTATCCCTTTGTAAGAAATGCCTTGTTGGTACCCCCCCCTCCTCCCCCGTCCCGGTCTTACAGTGCGTTTGCCTCTTATCAAATCTGTTTGGAGGGTGATATGCATGTCATAAAGTACGTATGTAAATTTATGGAAAGTTACATTTTTGACAAGTTTGATTCTCCAATTGATTATTCTGGATTCATTTGATGTCATTTCTTTTGACATTTCCATCCCACAAAAGACAACACAGTGCTTTTACTCTGCAGTCCGTAGCAGTAAACAGTCTTAGAGCACACTACCCAAAATAAAGACGATCCTTTATCTACACACATAACACACATAATAACACATTACAAATGGAAGAAAAGCAAGTAGTCAGGGGGTCAAAAAAATAAAAAAAACCTTCACCTTCAGCTTTTATGGTTTCACTGCAGGCACGAATTGTGTTAAGTGTGTAAGAGATGACAGATAAACTATAATCAAAATATTTGTGTGAACTGAATGTTTATATTGATGTGAGTGTGCTTCTTGGTGCAATATTGAACCTCTGTGCAATATTGAGATTTTATTATTTGAATATGTCTTTTAGCATTTCACATTTGGCTCAACTTTTCTGGTTTGTGAACGGTCGTGTGGGGTAGCTGTCTACGACTGATAACCGAACATGGTGTGATAACATACTGGAGGAGGCTTACCTGTTGTCTGATCTTTCAGGCTTTCTTGTTCCAAGAGCAGAGAGTAGCATCAACGGGATGTTTAGGAAAAACTGCTGGAAAAACTCTGCACCAAAATTTAGAATGGCAGCAAAGTTTTCCTACTTCCGATTTTCATTTTCTTAATGTGAGATGTGTATGTACTGGAACAGTGGTGATTTATTGCAGTCTCAATGATAGTCCATGGGGTATGGCTTTGGAGTGCACTGGAACGTGTGTTTACTTGTGCTTTATGATACTATTAAATGATACCAATGTAGCTAGATATAACATGAGATTCACCGTAGAGAACTCACTGCCAAGGGCTGCCTGTCATCCATCCCACAACTTTAAAAGCACAGTGTCGACAAAAATGACAACAACATTCCCCTGAACTAACAAAGCACGAGTGATGTGTTCACATTTGCAGGGTAAAAGACGACAAAATCCTAACATGCAAGATTGACAATAAAGTTCTCATCCAGACTGCCATTTTGTAGGATAGCAGCCATACATAGACTCAAGACAGTTAAATAAATAGACGACCCATTGCACTAAATGTACTCTGTCGTACATGCACAATCGTGAACGCCTTGAGTTCTTCAAGAAACAATCTGATGCAGCCTTGCTAGAGAGGTGTATAAAAAAAAGAGCAAGGTGTTTAGCAAGAGCACAAAGACCAAAACCAACCAAATGATGAGATTGTGAACACGAGTGCAGTTGTGAACATGGGTGCTTTGAGCTTTGACGACCTGCCCCCGTACATTTGAAACCCTCTCCCTGATTTATGTCCACAATTTGACATCATATTCATTATCTATGAGTGTGCCATCTCTCGTTAATTATTGCCAAATATTTTGTATGGCCTCAGTTTACGCATTACAGCATCAGTTCTCTGTTATAGATATGAATATATGTAAATAAAAATACTTATAGTGTAACTAATAAGATAGCTCTTCAAAGCTTTGTACCCCTGGACATTTGCAGTCAGTCAACTTTGATCTGTTACTATCATGCAAAGCGAGAACAACTGGACTCATCATGTTGAAGAAGACTTTTCCCGATTCATCTGAGAATCTGTCTTCCAGAGTCCGGGGTGCTCTCTTTTTGAAACCGCATGAAGTAATGGCTTCAGGAGCCAAAATGGCCAGCACATGAGAAAGGAAAATTAGCCTAAATTCCCCCTTTTAAAAGCACATTGATAATATATAAAAACGCACATTTACTGTACAAATATAAACGCTAAGCATCAGCAGTCCTACTCTCTGTATGTCGTCCTGTTTCACCCATGAAATGAAGAACAACGATGTCAAGATAACTGTTGTATTTGTTCAAAATGGATTGCCGTTAAAGCGCTAACCTGTCTCAGTGACTCAGTTCAGGCTCCTTCTAAGTCTAAATTGTCTGGTAGATACATATCTTAGCTTATGTTACAGGGTTTTTTTTGTATAATTAACTTGTTGCGTGAGCAACGGTCAATTGTGAGTGCAAAAAGTTAACAAAGCAATAAGTGTTTGGGTATTTGTCTCCTGTTCTCCTCTTTGAAGCTATTGGGAATCGGAGCACATGACTGTATGCTGGCCTTGTCCTCTAAAACGCTGAGTGTTGGCTTAATAATGACACCGGACTTAACAGCTAACATGTGTGTGTACTCTCTAAAACAACCCGAAGTCTTGAGGCTTTTGTCAATAAGATTGCATTGCCATTAATTAAATGTAACAAAGAATTTATCACCTTTGTCATTGTACTGTGCTGTAGAAACTGTAGTTGATTGTTTGTAAGTATAGAAACTGTTTGTGGAACCATGAATATATAAAAAAAGTTATATAAAAAAGTGTAAATGAACAATGATGTATGTTGTCTTTGATTTTGTGTATTTTGTAAAAAATGAGGATGAAATATAAGTAAATACATCAATGTTAAATACCGGTTATGAATCATAGTTAGCCTAAATGTGACGACATCAGTTCTGTTTAAAGGTGTGTGAGGTTTTTTCTTATATTTTCTCATTGTTGATTTTTGATTGGGTTCGCACTCTGCTGTGTGTCTGACCCTTTGGAATCACAATGGATAACAAAGAACCATGAAGAATAAACAAGTGCAAAAATACTAAAGTCAAGCGTTGTTGTTTCTTGTTGTCTATACATTTTGTTTCACATTTTTCAACAAGGTTAGAATCCTGCTGCTGCAAAAAACTATTTTTCTACTACATGTCAAATTCATATCATTATTGCTACAACACCCCTCAAAGGGAGCTCAAACACGAGTTAGCACTAGAAATTGTCTTACTCTGTAACAAATGAGACGGGTGTGTTGATGCAGGCTATTCATATCGATCAGATGTCAAGCTTTTCACTCTCACTCTGGAAGCTAAAGTGCTGCAATAATAATGTTGTACTGTTGCGCTGAAGGTTGCAAGAATTAATGTCGGAAATATGACTTTTAAATAAGTTTTGCACAGAAGATAATATGTGCAATTTTTTTAAGAACTTAAGAAAAAAAACTCATAGTAAAGCTGTTGGCAAACAGTTTCTTCCGGGTATTGTCTGAGTTACATCTTGTCTGATTGCTTTAAGACTTTGTTCGTTCTTTGTTCCATTAAGAAAATGTTCATTATTGACAGTTTCATACAGTCTATGGTTATTATGACATCCACCTGCAGGTGAGAAAATCCTATTACCCTTACAGTGTAATCTCAATTCAATATCGTTTTGTGAATCACAACATTAATTTACAGTAGACTCTTCATTTTCTACCTTTTCCACTTACTTACCCCTTCGACTGTCTATGATAATGAATAGGTTACTTCCTTTTCCTCCTTTCAGCTGCCGCACTGACAGCACTGCAGAGCTGCACTGTCTCCTAGCAACCAGGAATTAAACCTAATTCAAAATGTGTGGCTAAACAATAAAAACATTTTTTTATAATACATATGTTTTTTATTTTTATTTTTATGAAACAAGAACACAGGATCCTGATAGAAATAAAAGATTTATAAAAGATTATTCCGTCGTATTTACTGAAGTTCGTATTTTACGTCAGAAGGGGGCAGTAACGCTCCATGCTTCCGGGAACACAACCTTAAGCGACATTGCGCATGTGCGACTTCTGTGTACTGCGCTCAACCGCTTCTGCTGCAAGGTGAGTGCCGATGTTAGAAACATCACTTTTAGCGTCTTAATGAGTCACTCAAAAGGTGTCTGTTATAATACAGACGTGTGTGTTGTATTTTTTTAGACCTTAGCGGTTCAGAGGCTGCGTCACATTGTCTTATTTTACTTAAATAATGCGCGATGTTTACAATGAAAACTAACAAGCTAGTTTCTGGTTAGCTCACCATCTGTCCCAGTGAAAGCTTATTTAGGATTTAAAGTCGTGTTACCATCTCTGAAAGTGACTGTTTTACGCCATGTCAGGCTATAAGTGATTGAAAGTCAATTGGTTTCTCTGTTTGTTTAACTTATCTTGACCATGGTTCTGCTGGGGCTGAACAGTGACATAAATCATACCTTAAAGGTTTGTTCATGAACCTGTGAGCTTTAAATCTGCAGCAAATTGTAGATTTCCTGCAAGATGTTGGCAATAAATTGATTGTGCTCCTTATGTGTATGAAAAATAATATTAAAAAGGTGCATTTTTGTGTGTTATTTCACTACATAGCTTTGTTTTCATTAAAAATAATAACTTGTATTTATGCCCTTCTGTTTATTACAGGTGGTCTCCTGCCACATCCTCTGATGCTGCCCACTGTCCTCCGCTGTGCTCGGCCCATCTCTACCAGTCTTGCCTTAAGCCGACCTTTGGCCCACTTCAGACCACACATGGACCCTGACCCGAGCCGGCCCGTTGAGAGAGCTATCAGAAGTAAACTGACCAACACACTCCAGCCTGACTACTTAGAGGTACACAATGAAAGCCACATGCACGCTGTGCCCCCTGGCTCAGAATCCCATTTCCGGGTCTTGGTTGTCAGCTCCCAGTTTGAGGGTCTGGCGTTAATAAAGCGCCACCGTTTGGTAAACGAAGCTCTGAAAGAGGAGTTGAGTAGCTGTGTTCATGCGCTTGCCATCCAGGCAAAGACACCTGAGCAGTGGGGGAGCAACCCCGCCCTGGCCAAGAGTCCTCCCTGCATGGGGGGCTCGAAGGGAGACCACACAGTGGAGGAGAAGCTGAAAGGAGGGCGGGAGTGAAGGTCGGCTTATGAAGCAGTTGTTGTGACTGAACTTAAAAGACTGCAGGTGAATGCTGTTGGACAGAAAATACACAATAACTCATCTTTGTCAAATGCAGGTAACAGTTGTTTTCCCCATAGAGCTATCCCTTTGTAAATTATACTTCCCTGGCTTAGTGGAAGAGAAAGTTGCAGTTTTCAATACAGAGATGGAGCTTTGTCGTGATTCTGTCATAATAAAAGATGAATTCAAACATGAATCACCAGTGTGTTTTAAAGGTACACTTATCACAATCAAAGAACTGATTCAACACCCTGTTCCACAATGAACTCCATTTTGACCAAAAGAATGAGGCTGATACATCCAGTTAAAGTCGTGAGAAACGGGTCTCTCCTACTTCGTGTAAAAGGTAAGTTTGTATGTTTTCAGGTCTGTCTGAATCCAAAACTTAGGTTGCACGTGTACATCCAGGTTGATACCATTTGGTTGGGGTGGGACCATCAAGGGACATAATTTACAGCAGATGTTATTACAAATAAAATAAAGGGTTTCACATATATGATATAAAGCTTTTTAATTTTGTATATTCAATTTATCGGTTTTGAACAGAGGTCACAACAGGTCAGATATGTGGTACCTTGTTTTTTTTCAGTAACCCTCCCTTGAGCCTGAAATCAGGGTGCAACGTCACAAGCCTTTCACCCTGTTAGCTAAAGTATCGGTGCTAGTTCGATGGACAAGAACAAAATGAATAAATGTGTATTTCAAATGCTGAATGCAAAACTATAACAAGATGACCTACTTCAGCTGCTAACATTAACGTTTTGCAAGCTTGTATGTTGTTTTTTAAAGCTATTCTTACCCACAGTCCTCAGCTCAGTGAAACGCAACTATATTAGCACCTTTTTATACATGACAGCATGCAGCCCAGAGTGCTTCACCACAGAATGATGGACAGGACATGAAAATAGAAATTGAATACGATAGATAGATGCATTCCTAAAAGACCAAACCAGGAAACACAGTAATAAAATAATTCAAACAAAACAAAAAAAAAAAGCGACAAGATTTGTGGGAATCAGAAAACTGTTGGATACATAACACTGACTAAGCCAGAGAGAGCATGACAGGGCGACTGCTGCTTGCAATATAAAATAGAAAAATGTTTTTTGAAATGCAAAGTTGCTGTACATAGGCAGCGTCAATAACACAGGCTGAACACAAGAGGGCAGTATGTGCACTTAAGTATATGACAAAGTGAGCTGGGCCGTTGAGCTGATGAACAGAAGACGTCTTCATTATTCTCCTTCAAGTCGAACATCAAATGATTGTTCATATAGTCCAACTATTCAAACTCATCTAGGTTTAAATTAACTCGTAACCACATTTTAAGAAAAATGTAACCATTTTTTCAGAAACCCACACACCTTATTGTGTAGCAGTAAATCTAATTTATTTAAACAACAACCCACACAACAACTAAAAAGTACAAAAGCAGTGATCAGTAGTCAACACGTGATTGCTTCACATATTTGTTAGATGATTATTGTTTAAGATTTTTAGTGATTGGCTGGAAAAAAAGAGAACAGAAGTACAAAATGTTCGGTCATTTGCGCTTGTTGTCAGTATGACGCACTCTGGCTGTTTGTGTGTGTGTGTGTGCGTGTACATGTATGTGGGTGGGCGTCTATTCTTGTCCTGGGGTTGTATGTGTCCCTGTGAAGGTCTTCTTGTCCTACCCTTAACTCTGATGACTCAAAAATCGCCCCTCAAGCCTGCGTGAGAGCGTTAGAATAACAAAAAAAACAAAACTGAAGATCCTTTGCCCCAATTGAAATGTCTTCTGTGAGATTAATTTAACATCCTTAAAGAGCACGATGCTCAGATTTGGTCCAAGACAAGCAGAAAATCCCACCAAACACACACCACTGAACCCAGGCAAACTTTGAATGCTTTGCTGCAAAGCTATTCAAAGTTATTGTTGGCTCATAAAGACAGGCCTGCAGTGGAATGTGGTGTCACCTCAAGGTAATGCGCGTCGTCTTCTACAATCATCCTGCGCCTGGAACTGACAGCCTGTCAGGCCTCACAAAGGGCCGCGGTGAGGAGGGTGAACAACTGGTGTCACTGGTTTGGAAAAAAAGGAAAACAGTAACACAACCACTTTATGACCCCTGCTCACCCGTTAAGAGTCGGGCCTAAGGGGGGCAGGCGGCAAGGTCGCGGCAGTGGGAGAAAGCAATAAGCTGGGCTGTTCTGCCCGGGGACCCGCAGACTGTCTCTGCTCATGAGATTTACCTGTCAGGATTCCAGGTGCTGTTATGATAGAGAGGGTAAAAGACGTCAAGTCGTCAAAGGTGATGAGGTGGAGTGCAGAGACTTGTCCTAAACTTAAAAGCTTGGACTGTTTTACATGTGTGAGTAGTACATCACCTGTTTAGTCTGTGGCAGGTATACAGCAAAATGATAGGGTCGCTCAGGTCACCTCTGTGGATTTGGACTTGTTTTGGCCAGAGGTGAAATTGCTAGTGCCTTATTGACGAGCTTTGAGTGTCCAGTTATTCCACAATGTGTCATTTTGCTTTTATGTTGAGAGATGTTGACAACTACTCTTTTTTTATTTTATTTTTTGGAAAAGCCTACTGCTGCAATTAAGATCCAATGAGGAGAAAACTTCACTTAAGTTTGTTTTGAACCTCGTACGGAGGAGAACATTCAATGCAGAGTCGTTTTAAGGTCATCAGTCAGAGTGATGATAAGACTTGAAGATGAACTTTGTTCTGCTGCTTCTCTACATCAGCAGGTTTTTTTAAGACCAGTAATCTTCCACTTCATTGGTGCTCAAGTCAAGTAAAGGTACTTCTACATGATTAGATCCTTTGAGTTCTCTCTCCACCCTTTGGTAATGCTTCATGCAGTTGTGTGAAGTTGGATAATATTAGAACAGATGTTATAACTCAAGTGTTGATTTTAAAGAGAACAGCTGGTTTGAGTTGCAGGGTGGCCCTTTACAATTATCATGCAAAAGTTTATGTATCAACAGGCCTGAATGATTTTAAACACTTTTAAAACAATATATGTTCTTAATGATAGTATAGCATTCTTCTTTAGAATGAAAGGTCGTTTGAATGTTTAATATTTTAGTTTGAGTAGTGCACTCGGGCTCCTATGAGTCGTGTTTAAATTTAATAGCATGACATTATCCTTTTTTTCCGCTGATGTCTGAAAGTGTACAAAGTATTTAAATGTTTATGAAATGCAGTCCAGGGGTTTCCAACCAAGGGCTCTAAAGGGTCAGAAAATGCAGCACACAATTAGATAATTTTTACGCCATGTTTTGACTCTTCTCAATTCTTTCTTTTTCTTATTTTTTTCCAACAAATAACTGACTTGACTAGAAATCACTGTGTTATTTAAACTGCTGAATATTTGACATGAGACTAAAGATGAGGATTATCTCGACACCCAAAAAATCAAACTTCAACGAGATACTAATAAAAATCCAACACACCCGTTTCTGAACACTGACATCAAAACATAGAAATTGCCCAGTCATGTTTTTTTCTTTTTTTAATGATCAAAAAACAGCAAGCTCCACCACACTGTTGACGTTGCACAAACACATCAGCAATGTTTCCAGTTGTCCCCAAGCATGGAGGTTTGATCCATTTAAAAATCTCAATCATCACTTTTAATCCAGCTGAACTGACCTCTGAACTTTAACAAACCCACCCCGCTCGCTCTCTCTTTCACTTGTGGCAACTTTTCAATACAAATATGAAGATCTATATGTTTTGTTTTAGTTTTAAAAAGGTCCACACTATTCAATATCTTCAAAATATTGGATTTTCTGTTGTTTTATAACGTGAATTTAAAAAGTATTGAAGCACTGAACATTTTGACACCCTTAAAAGGGACCCTGACTGCTTGTGTAGAGGTGTCAGAGGGGTGTATTTTAGCTTTCTTGTGTTTTGGATTTTAATGTTATCTATGTGAAGGATTCTATTTAGTTCTCCACATTTGATTAATCCACAGTTTCATCTCATTCAGAGTTAATTTACAGTGTTTACTTAGTGTGTACAGAGGCACTTCCACCATGTCCAGACTCCTGCATGGTATGATGGATCTGTCTCCGGTCTCAGGTCTGGCCCATAAGGCCGGGAGGGTGCAGCAGGTCAGTGGGAACCCACCTTGGCAGTGCTGCTCCTGCGTCAGAGCCCCGGGACAGATGGTGCCAGGCTGGGCTGAGACTCCTGGCAGGGCAGGGTTCCCGCGATGAACAGCCGCTGATTTACGCCGCGGCTCCGGACCCCGGGCTGGGGTGCGGGGGGCTCCTTCTGCGCAGCTGACCCCTGCTGGTTGCAGGGTCATCTCCTGCGAGGAGGGAGGGGGAGAGGGGTACGACAAATGGGTGTCTGGGAAAGGGTGGTTTGGTCATCCCAGGGGAGCGGCTTGGTCCTCAGGCCCCCTGGTCAGCTGCAGGGTCTGTGCAGCATGTGTGCAGGGAGAGCAGCCTGTTAAACACATTTCATTTAACCCCCCCAAGAAACAAAAACAACCATTACTTTTATTGTCTTTAATGCTAAACCTGATTCCGCTGCACACAAGAAATGTCTTTTCCATCCATGAAAACCTTGCAAAGTCTTAGTGGTGCAAAATTGTAAATAATCCTCAAAGAAAAAAGTAAATTCTTACAAAAAAAACCTACTCAATTCACTTCAATCAGTATTTTGTGCATGCATACATTTACACGTTTGTGTCAAAATGAAAGTGGCACCACTTATGAGTAACATTTCAAAAAAGTGTCTCTCTTTTTTAGTGAAGAGCATTTAAAAATCATCAGTCTTAATTACAGTTAAATCTTCTCAGATTTGCCTTTTGAAGCTCCCACGCTGCTGGGCTGATTAATCTTTAGCTGGATTAATGTTGTGAAAAAAACACAGAGTTGAACTTAAGGTGATGATTATGGGCTATTAAGGCCTTTTAATTGGAAAGCCCCCCCCCCCACCCCACCCCTTCCTCTCCACACCAACTCTCTCTCTCTCACCGTTCCACCAACTAATGAAACGAGTGAATAGGCAGCTTGAAAGGGAAGGACAAAGGCAGAGATAGGCAGAAGACAATATCTTTGTGTGGGAGAATTAGTTACACTCAGTAGTCTAAGTATTCAAAGCGCACAGCAAAAAAAAAGTGTGTGTGTGTGTGTGGGGGGGGGAGGTTAAGAGGGGGATTAAGAGTAAAGTCCACACAGGTGGGATT